CAATCACTTGAGAGAAAGATAACAAAGAAAATAAATCGAGCAATGCATAAGGAAACGGTGACATAAATCTTAAATTAATGAGCATATGGAATATGTTGTTTACGAAAGAATACGAGGTAAGTTCACGAGGTTAGGAAGTTTTATTACGGAAATGCTACAAACACGAAAATGTTACCGAAAAAACTACACGTGGCTTAAGCGAGGTGTGCAAGTGTATAGAAGAGTGTATAAGTAGGCATTTATATGAGAAAGAAAAGCATTAGGACAAATTTGAAAACCCACCACTTGAAATAAAGAGATTTAGCATGCAAGCACACTGTTAGTAAATCGAATGCAGCGTACCTACAAACGCTGCGCCGGTTCTGCCTACGTTCTCTGCAGGACCCGTCGTCGCTTTGGTAGTGGTCCCGAGTGGCCTCGCTCATGGCTCACTAGGCCTGCCTGATTCAGGCATTCGCGACCGCATGTGGTACAGCACCATGAGCTCGATGTCGATGGAGTACTACCCATCGGTGCTTGCCGCTCCCGCAATTGCCGCTTCTTCTCTGCATGTATGAGGCCTTTCTTCCGCACTTCGGCAAATGCCTTAGTGATTAGATCGCGGTATACACGCCGATCAAACGCCTTCGATCCCCATGACCTACAATCAAGATTAGAACGTGAGAGGCTCACAATGATCATATCCTGGTAACGTAACTTTGGATTCGCCACATGCCGCTTCCCTATACTCAGCTGACCATACAATAGCTGCTTCGGTATCCGCGTCGAATCCATACGCCACACATGACCGAGCCACCTCAGGTGTCTTGGCAAAAGTATGCAGTACACTGCATACATCCCACTTCGGAGTGACACTTCTGTGTCAGCATCTCTGTTGCTGTTGTTTTTGCTGTTGCCATCTCAACTTCACGCGATAACCAGTCGGTTGTGACTGTGCGCTTTTCGTGACGTGCAGGCCCCCTGATCCAGATGTGTTGCACAAACTGAGACAACATTCCACTTATTATCTCTTTAGTATGGCAAGTACAATCTACCCATATTTGGTAATCCATAATTCGCTAAGGCAGAGAGAAGACAGAGGTTGCGATATGTCAACATTTCTATTGTTCTTTTCAGTCGCAAACACAATACGATCAGAAACACGCAAGGGATTATATACATGGAAAGAAAAAAGCACCACCAATCAAAATGTCACAGTCAAGACCATGGCAACCGAATTGATTGCCTCAAGAGTTTCTGTGCACATAGCACAGGTTGATAAGCCTTAATTAACAACGCCTCACGCTTCACCAATGCTCTCACCAAGTTGTCTTTCTATCAGGCCGAGGAAGATGTCGGCTTAAACTGGTCCCAGCGGGCTGCCCATAGCGACCCGGTCGATCTGTTTGTATGCCGTCCCCTCAAGTTCAAACCGTATGTTCTCGATGCTTTTCTTTTATTTCTTCATGTATATAATCCCTTGTGTGTTTCTGATCGTATTAAGTTTGCGACTGAAGAGGACAATCGAAATGTTGACATATCGCAACCTCCGTCTTCTCTCTGCCTTAACGAAATGGCTGAAGGGGACCCACTGTTTTACTTTTCTGAAAAGAAGAATCCCCGCTACATTTGCGAGAACATTAGACCGATTGCTGTCTCTGCGCTGCAAGTTAGCTGTTGAACGCGTCCGTGTGAAGTTGTTGAGGAATGTATCCGTTCAGGTTCCTTCCCGCCGCGATTCGCCAAGACCTTTTCTGGGAATAGATTGCCGATAAAAAACACCAATCTGGCCAGGATCGCGTCGGCGCATATCGAAGCCTGTTTGGAACGAGAACGGAAATTTATCGAGACGCAGAGACGATTCGCTTGCACACTCAATGAGTTACCGTTGGTTTGTCGGTTAAAATTTGAGGTCTTTTCCGCTGAAGTTCTCCGTCGCACGAGAGCAAAAACAGTGCGCAGTCTGCAAGGTTCTCTTGCTAAAGCCACCAATGCTTTCTTTCCTACTGATTGCTTGAAGCACGTATACAATTTATCCTCTGCTCAGTTCACACGCACTCAATTGGAAGTTCTCTCGCTTGGAATGAAATACCGACTGCCGCCAAAAGCGCTAGACAAGATCACCACGCAGGCGCATTTTGAGTATCTGAATGAACAGCTCAGTGACCTCACGCCAAGATCGACAGAAGATGCGGGTTGGTTTCGGGCGAAATTGGTAGATATTGCGAACCAGTTTCTGTGTACGCCGATAAGTCAGAGGTGCTGTCTGCAATCTGAACACTATACGGCGATCAAGGAGTTGAAACAAATGAAGCACGTAATGTTCCTGCAGCCGGATAAGGGATCGGGTATTGTAGTAATGGACAGGCCTGACTACATTTCGAAGATGGAGTCCATTCTGAGAGACACTCGGAAGTTCCAGCTAGATAATACACCGGAAAACAACATCGTGGTGGAGAATCAAGTGGCAAGGAAGCTCCAGATCCTCCTGCTACATGGTTACATCAATGAGTCACAGTACAGGCACTTAAAACCGACCGGGACACAGACACCTAGAATGCGAGGCGCACCCAAGTTACACAAAGCAGGATTTCCGCTACGTCCGATTATGTGCATGAACAATTCACCTTATCACAATGTCGCGCGGTGGCTGGCCAAACTATTAGATCCGGTGCGTAAACTCCTCGCTACGTATTGCCTGAAAGACTCCTTTGAACTGGCTGAGACACTGGAACAATTGTCACTGAGTGCAGAGCTTATGTACTCAATAGATGTGGACTCCTTATTCACAAACGTGCCTTTACGTGAGACGGTTGATAATTTATGTGATTTTATCCTGAGTCAAAATATGTCAGTTGGCCTGCCAGTGGAGTATTTAAAGGATATGATTCTATTGTGCACCGAGAACATACGGTTTGAATTTGAGGGGACCGCATACAAACAGATCGACGGGGTCGCTATGGGCAGCCCGCTGGGACCAGTTTTAGCCGACATCTTCCTCGGCCTGATAGAAAGACAACTTGGTGAGAGCATTGGTGAAGCGAAATTGTACAGACGATATGTGGATGACATTTTAGTCTTCACCAGCGGAGAACATTTTAATCGGCTGCTGACCATCCTAAATTCGATTCACCCTAATCTGTCGGTATCCCATGAAGTGGAACAACACCATTGCTTGGCGTTTTTGGATATACTCATTAGGAGACAGGCTGAAGGTACGTTGCAGCGCACTGTTCACCGCAAATCGACTTGCACTGGACAGTACCTTCATTTTTCAAGCTTCGCCCCGATCGCATACAAACGCGGGTTAGTGAGAACTCTCTTCCACCGGGCTAGACGTATTTGCAGCCCAGAAACGTTACAAGCCAAAGAAGAATTTCTACGCAAGACCTTAATTTCTAATGGATATCCTGAGAAGTTTATTCAGGTACACAGCAGACCTCCCAGCGTGAAAACACCGGTGTTGACGGCTGAGAAAAAGAATGTTTATTTGTTCTTGCCGTTCAAGGGGGACCATGTGGCAAATGACATCGGACGCAAGCTTCGGTCCGCCCTAACGCGAACGTACACGACAGCCCAGTTGCGACTCAGGCATACCACGCGAGCACTTGTTCTTCATAACCGTCAGAGCATCTCGTCGGTTAGTTCGGCCTCTCACGTTGTTTATCAGTTCACCTGCGGTTGCGGTGACATTTACATAGGCAGAACAAACCGTCAGTTAGCTCAGAGGGTAGCTGAACACTTGCCAAAGTGGTTGGGACAAGTGATTACGCAACAACATGGGACGAATCTGAGAATCAATCGGAGCCCGGCATCGTCTATCACCAAGCACGTCATGACAACCCGTCATCACGTGAACCCTGAGACAGCGTTCAAAGTGTTATTACGTAACAAAAACCCGATAATGCTATCAATCAGTGAGGCGTTGTTAATTAAGGCTTATCAACCTGTGCTATGTGCACAGAAACTCTTGAGGCAATCAATTCGGTTGCCATGGTCTTGACTGTGACATTTTGATTGGTGGTGCTTTTTTTCTTTCCATATATATAATCCCTTGTGTGTTTCTGATCGTATTGTGTTTGTGACTGAAGAGAACAATAGAAATGCTGACATATCGCAACCTCAGTCTTCTCTCTGCCTTAGCGAAATGGCTGAAGGGTACCCACTGTTTTACTGGTCTATATTTCGCCGAAACGGTACTCCTCCTAGACCTTAGATGCCAATGTTACGACTGTTGTACGCACACGTTTCACTACTCTTTGCTAGACAGCAAATAATTTAGACCCATAATAAGTCCTACATTTATATTTGGCTGAAACTGAAATTTACTAGCGGTTGTCTATTCAGCTTATTCGTATTATTTGCTTTAGGTCCCAGCTGACTTATTTTGCTCTCTTGTAATTTTTGTGTCTTCTTGCGTTTTCTCGCTTCTCACAAACAATTGCACGGTGATGTGCATCAGTTCGACTGGACGCACCAGCACTTAATTCTGGAATCGGGACCTTAGTGGAAAAGCAGGTCTCAGTCTTAACATGGGCACCCAATATGGTGCAGACAAAAATAATGTGATATAAACCGGCATTGGGCTGTATATCGGGGGTTACATCTGAGCTAGAGACGATGAAGTAGAGGGAAACGAATGGTAATAATTGAACTTGCCAAATAGGTAAGCAGTAAGCAGATGCAGACGAATTGTCGCCTAGGGGAAAAGCAGTCAGGCAGGATCCACAAAGTTCACCTCAGTTGAAGTAGTGGTCGAACATGGAAGTCACTAAATGTCTCTGAATCACAGCTGCAACTTAGCTCAGCTCAAATGCATAGCAGGTGCACTATAAGTTTCAAGATCAGCAATTCCCATTCTGAGCAGCGCACACTGTGATTTGCATGTTTCCGTTAAATAATGATGGAATCTACTCTCACGCGTTCAATATTATGAGCTTCCGGCTATGTCTCGGTTTTGCCATGAACATTTTCAATGTGATGAATTGCTGCTTAGTTGCTTCTCCCGAATTATTTGACAGATGCTAGACACCATTAATTTTCATGTCCTTGTCTCCAGCGCGACGGAACGCATTGCCGCATGCGTGCAACAATGTTTGGGAAAAAATACAAGCCAACTGAAATTGCTCCTACACTCTCCAGATATAACAGAAGAAATCAGAAGCGTAGATGGCCGGCTGAAACAGTTGAATGTTTTATTGGAGCGAAGATGTGAAGTTGGTCAGTTTGGATTTTCTCATAAAACACACAGTTCATTGTAGGTTAGTTGGCTTGGTTTCTAGAGAAGAACAGTTTACCAGAAACCTTTTATCACTTAAGTGAGTTGGAGTGTGAAACGGATGACGCACAATGCACGTACTATGCGTCCCGGAAGTTGTTAGAATAAGCATGCGGTCTGAAGTTTGGCACAGTCATGCTCTAGAAGCAGTATACAGTGGATAATTCACGAAGACAAATGATCGACAGCTCCTACCTATTGTGTTGACAGCTGCTAAAGTGGAAGAAGGAACAACACATGATTGAGTAAATATCGACCCAAGCAAGAACCACAAACGCTCTTTCCAATGAGCAAAGTAGCCAAAACTAATCGTATTTGTTAGATTGGAGCTCAGTATCTGTACAGACTAGTGTGAATAGGATGGAAAATTATGGTCAGACGGAAGCCGGTTGTCTTCTACATAAAATAACGAGAATCAAAGGCATGAGATCTAAAAGTAGACAATGAAGCCGAACAAAACCGAAAACGCATCTAACTTCTGTCACAGTATAGTTACGATTTAGATCCACGAATTTCGTCTTTTAATCACTACTCAGTTACCTACCTGTTCCTCGGAAAAGCACACGATAATTTTCATCGTGTCTCTGGCGGCGGGCCTCGAAGTGTTTGAGAATAAGCTTCATTATTATCATCATTATATGAGCCCAGATTATGCATGAGAAGTAGTGCTCGTCATAAGATGCGCAGCGTATTCAGCGATTGCATAATCCAGTAAATTTGAAGCCTTCCACCATAGCTAATTTAGACCTAGTTTCAACTACTTGGTCACGGTCACATACACTTGCATTGTAATACAATGTTGACTTCTACGTCTGTTTAGGTAATAAGTACGTGGAATTACTACAAGACCAAATTACGGAGAAACAATTACAACTCCTTGAAACCCGGAAGGCAATGGAAGCAAGTTGTCGCAAACTGCAAGAAATTGAACAAAACTTTAACGACGAACGTGTGGAGTGGACAAAGAAATTAAACGAAGCGGTGAAAAACTCAGAGGGCAAGTTCTACAATTAAGTGCGATTAACACGTATTCCAGTGGGGTGAGCAGCGAATTTGTGACTTTCACTCAGTTTCGTCACAGGGGGAGGTTATATATATATATATATTTGTATATATATATATATGTATATATATATATAACTCACAATCTATGTAGAGATATCGTGCCATCGAAACCATTGCGGAATAGGAAAACTGGGATTAAATGAAGAAAATAAACAAACAAATTATTCGAGCTTTGTGATGTATTTTCTTGGGGTGGGAAGGGGATAATCCATCCATGGTTCGTCAGTCGGCGAGATACTACCCGGTTGACCAGGCCGAAGTGCAGGGTTGTCTTAGGGGGACACACCCAGGATCTAACCTACAAGGCAGCAGGACGATATGAAGTTATCGCAACCCGTTGGGAGCCGGTGACCAAACATGTGATTCATACGTTTTTGAGACCGCATAGGACCTGGAGCCCAACACATACTTGAATTACAATGCCACTCAGAGAGAGGCAAGGAGCAGTGACTTTATTTAGGGGCAACTCAGATCCGCCACGTCACAGTGTTTTTAACGGATATGTGTGGCTTATTATAGGGAGAACGCTTGCCAGGCGAAAACTCACCACGTCCTGGAACACTGGTGATGAATCAATCGCTGGAACAGGATAATCCCGAACCACCCAGCTGGCACTACGAGGAGGTTGTTCGGCAAGCCAGCCATGAGGCAATTTAAGCACAGCAACATTTTTCTCGTCGTTGCAATTCCACACCTGACATCCGACGTATTCTGTTATGAAGCCAACCCATAAACCCACCAGACTACAGAAAATTTTCAAGTATTCATTGCGTCGCTTTATCGCTAGGGAAATCCTTCGACCCCATCATTGGAAAAAACTGGTATCTGTTATTACTCAGTGATCAATTTCATCTCGTTATTGAACAAGTCCAACTTAGGTCAAAATCCACCTGTGTTCTAAGGTGGTCTGCTCCCGTACTTACGCAACTCATACCTGTGAGGGCCGCAGCATGTGTTTTTGACAAGTGACTATTTGGTTATAACGACATTACAAGGGGGAGGAAGGAAAATAACGCCTTTGCGTTGGAAAGTTAACGTGTTGGACTGAAGCGTCATTGCGTAACCATTTCACCAATTGCCGCCCCGAACCATTCTGTTATCAGTGTGTTCCACATCTGCATGCTGAAGGTTCGAATTCCCGATAACCACAAAGATTGCTTCAATTGTTTATTTGTTCTCCGATATTGGCGGTTTTGTTGCAAATGTTTCACCACCATGCGCAGTGGCACCCTTAGTGCAGTGAGGTGCGGCAATCAATCCTACTGAATAAATCGTTCCTCTGTGATCGACCTGGGTTTCGTATTGGGGCGCCGTCTATTCTTGGTCTTCATAAACAATCTGGTGAGCCAAAGCGCGTCAAACTGTTTACTCTACGCCGAGGACATCAAGGTTTGTTGAGTGATCAGAGCTCCAGAAGACCGTATCCAGCTTCAAATCGATATTGACTAGATTTATGGATGGTTGGTCCCAAATCGACCTCTCTTCAATGTAGCTATATGTCGAATGCTCCATTTAAGACACTGAATGGTTCACACACATAAGCTGGGGGACCAGGAGCTGCAAAAGGATGTTGGTCCAAGAATATCTCGATTGCTCGGAGTAGTCCAAAAAGGCATCGAAGAAGGGGATCCAAATCGTGGGGCTTTTACGGAGAGCTTTCGGGCAATTCGAACCGTCTATTTTCCGCCAAATACTTCCCACTTATACATACCCACATGTTGACTATGCAATTCAAGCATGGCACCCATGGCTAAATCGGGTTTTCATGGTCTTGGAGCTTCCACAAGGTCGGGTGACCAAAAATGTCAAGGGGCTGCGCCACTTGTCAAACGAACCGTGCCTCAGTGCTTGGCATTTTCAGTAGACGTTATCGCCGTTTGCGTGGTGACCTAATTATGGTTCACCTAATATAAAAAAACACTCATCACCTCTGCCATCAACTATTGATGTCTCATCATCATCATCTCAACTTAGCAGCACAATACAGTCGGGTAGAGTGTCGAAGAAACTTCTTGCTTCGTGTTTGCCACACTTGGAATACACTCTCAGAAGCGGTTATTTCAGCCACACGTTAGCCGTGTTCAAAACACGTGTTTACAGTGCAGTGGCCATACTACACCATATCACGTAATCCAAACGATCCATACATACCGTAGAAAAACAAAATCAAACAAACCCACCTCCATTTTTGCCCGGAAACCACAGACGATAAACTTGGATAGTACAAAAAAGGACGGGAACGCTGTAATCAGTAAGTTTGAAATTTGCAGTTGTTCACTATATCCTATTGCCATTTTGCCTTTATTTTGCTCAACCGTAGCCGAGCATCCGGCGGTACATATCAAGTTTCGGCTTTTTTATCCGTAATTTACCATTGGCTATTGCCTGTCGGTAGCGCACACACTGCTTGGTGGAACAATGGAAAAATGGTACATTACCGGCAAAAAAGCGGATGCTTAGCAAGTCCCGTAGGATGGCCAAAAAGAGAACTACCACATGGTGAATAAGAAACAAATGGATAAAATGGAAATCGTTTTGGTGGACTCACTACAGTGGTAACACAGAGGCACGCAGAAATTGCCAATCTCAGTTGTGTAGGTTAATTCTGGTTGTGCAACTTTCTTCGAATTATATCGTCTGTCGGGACACTCAGGCTGTATCTCGTTGTGCTTTTCCAGGCTAGCCTAAGCCTGCTGATTGGAATGGACGATGATGAAGTAGCTGAAGTATATTAAAATCCTCACTACTACTCATCAGTAATATAAAATCTGTCTGTATAGCTTCTAAGTCCTATGTGGTACAGAGGCGCTGCGCGGAAGGTTCTAGCTCGTGAGACTAGCCATTGTTCTCTGCACAGTTCGTAACTGGCATGGCAGTGGAAGATGAGCCGGGCTGTATCATGGTCAATTGGCAATCACACAGGTCCGCGGCTGGCACCCATGGCGAAGTGATACTAACTGCTGGCATCCCTAAGTTATGGGGCGGAACCCGGCAGGGGTCCGCTGGGAGGCGCACCACTGACGAGACCCAGAATGTCGAAACACCGGCGTCTGGTTCTTTTCCAGACTAGCCTAAGCATGATGATTGGGACTGACGATGGTGAAGTAGCTGTATTATACCAAAATCCACACGACTACACATCAGTATATCTCGTTGTGTAGGTGGGTTAGGACAACGTCAGGGCGCATTTTAAACACAGGTAAAGTGGGAGCGGAAATAACGTACTTTAGGAGAGCTTTCCAAGGCTGTGACAAACGAAGAGAGCAAAAGTGCCGTCGACAGCCTAGACGACTGTATTGCGTGGCTAACTTGAACTGGTGACTCCTCAAGTTCCTTTGTGGCTCAGTTGTAGTAGGTGGCGGAAGAGGTGGTTGGGGTTGCTTAGAAGCTGGTAGGTCATAACGTGATCGCCACCTAGGCGCTGATACCGGCCACTGAATAAGTCCAAGTTGATAAGGAAGGTTGAACAACCCTTTGACGTGCCTCGTGACTCGTCGCTGTGCAGTCTCGAAAGCTGCAAGTTCTTGCTTGTGCCAGAGCTGCCAGGCCTATATTGCATATTCCACATGAGACCGCACGTAGGTGTTAAGCAACGGCGAACAGACAGCGGGCTCAGACCGCCCAAATGCCCTTCGCAACATGCCAACGGGTTGGTTCCCAGTCTTTGACACCTTCACAGATGGTTCTGAGCAGGCCTGATCAGGCTGGATTAGTACTCCAAGATCGCGCTCCTGAATGACTGCTTGCAGGACATGAGATACAAGTTTGCATGTGATGTTCGACTGGTTGCGAATGTAAACCAGCTTACACTTCCCCGGATTGAACTAGAACCGATTGTGGAGTGACCACCCAAACGCTCTGTCCAGATCTCGCTGAAGTGCATCGGCGATCCTCCGCCACATCTTAACATCATCAGCAAGAAGCAAGCAATCTGAGGCAATCAAACGCGTAAGCTCGTTAATGAACACGAGAAACAGAAGCGGCCCCAGAACTGCTCCTTGTGGAACTCTACATTGGACATAAATCGGAACTCACAGCGCATTTCGAAAGCTGACCTGCAGTTGCCGATGCTACAGGAAATTTTGATCCACTCAAGGACAGGATCACTAACTCCATAGTTTTCAAAACCTGTGAAGCAGAGTGCGGTGGTACAGTCAGTCGAAAGATTTGGAGAAGTCGAGGGAAATAACGTCAGTCTCTTTGCTTTCATCGGCCACTTCCGTCCAACTACTGCGTGCAACCAGCAGGTTGGTATTGCGGTAACAGTGCTGGCGAAAACAGTGTTGCTCGGGCGTTATTATGTTGTGGCGTTCTAGTTGGTCTATTAACGCCTCAGCGATGATTATCTCAATCACCTTGGGGAGCACATGCAGGAGGACCACTGGGCGATAGTTTGCAGGTACCGGCGATTATCGCTTTTGAAAATTAGAGTGATTAAGCCATGTTTCCACATGATAGGCCCAGTTTGCTTGTCCAAGCACGTCTTTAAGAAATGCGATTATGGCCCGGCCAGCGTTGTTGCTGCTACGTTTAGCGCCCTAGGTTGAATATAATCAATTTCGGGAGGGCTGTTGGTACGTAGTGCGAACAGTTTCTTCAACACAGCAGTGGCAGTAACATCGTTGTTAGTGAGTATTGAAGTTGGGGCTAGGGATGTGGGTATGTAACACTTTCCTTTTGGAAGCTTGGGGCATGCTGTATTCGTAGGGCGTTGGCTGCCTCTTTGGCACTTGGTGCCACTTCAACTGGCGTGTTAAGTGGGGGGGGGGATAATGAGTTTCACTTTCCGGGTACTGTTAACATGCTTGTAGAGGAGTTTCCGTGGTTGGAAAATTTACAGGCCAAATGTTGTTGGTGAGTCAATTTGTCGTCACGGACAAGCATGTTACAATGGTTGCGCTGGGTCTCATAGTAGCTCCAGGTTTCGGGACTAGTACCAGCTCTGTAAGTGTGCCAAGCTGCATTCCTTATTGACGTGT